TGCTTATCATCTCTTTCCAGCATTAACAAATATCAGAAAATATTTTGAAATTTCAGGAAACTTTTCAGAAAATTTATAAAAGTATTGCGCCAGTTATATGCAATATTCTCTGTAATATTCCGTGCTAAATGAGATAACTGTTATACATGTTTCTTAATTGAATTCGATATCATTATTAATTAAACTCTACAGAATTAATCAAAATTTACGCGATATTCAACGTGTCAAGTTCGCTACAATGATGTAACTATGACAAGAAGTTTCCTTACACGCGATGAGGATACACGAACATATCCAGAAGTGATATATATACTTTCGATAGAGATTAGAGATACGTAATCTTGCGGCGATAAGTGCTCGTATAAATACACATATCACCGTGTGCTTCTCGGTAGCACGCGCCACACAACTGTATACATCGAGGTAATTCAATGTAACATAAGGCGATGTCCCCGGGCTAAAACTGCATGAAGCAAGGATGGGGCAAGCGACGTGACGGAGACACAAGATCCATTTGTGGAACCGTACTCGATCTATATTGTACGATTCGCTATCGATAAGACGTCTTGCCACATAATCGGATTTCCGATTTCCCTCGTTCGATCACAAAATAGCATGAAATTATCTCAATACAGTAAGAAATATTTCATCTCATTATAGAAAAATCTTCATACGTAGAATAAATTTAAGCGTTAAGCTTTATTTAATATAAATATTCAAGAAAATATGAATATAATTCGAAGATTTATTTTTTTTGAAAAATTTTCACTCATTTTCACTGTCCAGAATTCCCTCTTATGCATAATTATGATTCATTCTTATTCATAATTAATCCTTCGCTATGCAGTAATGAGTCCTTAGATCCGAAATGAAAACTTTTAGACAATTGTACAATCAATATGATTCGTAGATACTATAAAGTTCTAAATTGCAGTTGAAAAAACTTTAATCTTTGTCTATCAACTGCCGTAAAGCAGAAGTTTATTTACATTCTGTATTTCAAACAGTTCACTTAAAAATAGTCTTCATGATTGAGTTGAGGATTATTCAAAACATATGAATATCTCCTCGTTATAAGGAGTTAAAATTCTAGTTAAGAACAAATCGATTTCATATCGATAGATGAATCTTGTCAAAGAAAATCCAATGGTTCCGAAATATCCATATATACGAGGTATAAAAAAAAAACGATCTTTTCACGTCGATATATACGTGACGAAAAACGCGACAATCGCAAGATCCCATACGGTCTTTCAACGGTGCGGCCTCGAACCGCGTTGTCACAAAAAGTACCGGACTGATTTATAAGGGTTTCGGTTTACAAGCGACGACGCTTCCATTTCCGCGTCGGGACTCGCCGACGACCAAATCGCAGTGCACGGCCGCGACGAGGAAAGGTTTCGCGTTCACCTATGCCACTGTTCAATTTCCGCGCGACGTTTCAATTTCTGTTGGTCGACACGCGCCCTTTCGTTGCATTCAATTCCACGAAACGCCCTTCATCCCTCTACCATTTCGCGATGCATATCACCAGATCCTACTATTTTCGATCCGGTGATGGATTAACCCCTCCTACCCCAAAACTACCATGCTGTCTACGATTGTTGTATACGTTTTCGTCGGAAGCTTAGACTTCCGGTAGTGATGAAGAATGATTTATGGCGGAACCATATCGCGCGCGAGCGTCCTGTCTCACCCTTTCTCTGTCTGAAGAAATGCTCACGTAAATGGACTTTATACAAGCATTTCTCCTCTTGAGGTATTGAATTTCTTAAAGGAACATCAGATTTTCAGAGAAGTCTAAAAGAACGAGGTAAACTCAACAAGATTCTCCGCGGTAGAGATAACTCAAAATTGCAAGGTACGAATCATTTCATATTGTATGTTGCATAAAACATTCGTAATAAATATTTATAAGAGCGTACTTATTCTCTTTAATCTTTTATTAAAAATAAAATCTAATATAATAATATTAATATATAATAATAATAATATTAATATATTATATTAACATATAATAATATTAATAATAATAAGTGTTATTACACTTAATCATATATCAAGAATTAAGATACAAGCAAAATCCACCGTAAAAAGACGAAAATTGCTTATTTTCTTCTCATAGAACTCTACGATTTTTTTTAGAATTTTTGATTAACTTTTTAGCACTTTTTAGCACTTTCTCATTTTTACCAACATGAGAAAATACGGTATTAAAAAATTCTGAAAAAATTCTTAGAGTTCTATGAGAAGAAAATAAACAATTTTCGTCTCTTGCAGTTTTTCTGTAAAGTTGATAGTATTTGAGTAAAAAATTATTGAATACCAATTTTCGGCAATTTTTAACAATTAATATCTTGGTAATTATTGTGGAAATTGCAAAATGGTAGAGAACTTTTTTTCTCAGTCCATTCTGTCTCTGTGTGAAAGACTTATATTTTCAAACACCCGTATACATCGCTATTATTTAAAAATAGGAAGATCGAGTAATATCGGACACCTTAAATTTTTTCGAGACTTCATATTGTTGGACAGCAAAAATTAAATGTAGGTACATACATTATATAAAACAGTATTTTTATACATTCTTTTAATCGTATTTTTCTAAAAATTAAACTAGTCAAATTGTTACATTTTTTTAATTCTATTTTATATTTTTTGTAAATTCGAGAGTGATATTGAAAAGAAAAATTTTGCAAAAATTATTTTTTATTTTGAACATTACAACACATATTTATAAAAAAGATCAGTTCCTTCAAAATTGGTACAATCTTTATAAGTCCAACCTTCATACAAATTGCACTCAATCCAGTCTTCATTAAAATTTTCTTCGTAAATTTTTGACATAATTAGCCTTTCTCTATCTTGTTTATTGGTTTTCTTAAATACTTTTTTTACAGCATTCGCTAACATTTTTGTTCTTTATTAACCGTATATTTTTATCCTTATTTAAGTTGTCCGATACCATTCGCCAGCTCATTATCCAATACCACCCGAATGACGCGCAACGAAAAAACAACGTATGAAACGAGCAACTTTAAAATAAAAAGGATAAAATTTCTAACCTCAAGAATAATAGATCAATAACAATTTTGTTCATATTGATAAACTAAAAACGATATTTCAGTTATGTTTATTAATGTGACTGGTTAGTAAAATTAATTCCACGCTGTCGTAAACAGCTGCTAGGCAACAAAATACACAATAACTCATAAACAATACTGTTTCTATTCTGAATATGGAGAGTTTTCACGTAAGTGGATTTACTAATGGCTTAATAAGTGTTGCCGTTTAATATTTTAAACAATCCTTCTCATACTAGTAGCTGTCCAATATTATCTGACTTTCTCCTACTATAAATCATACTATAATATATCACACAAAGTATATAGTATAATATTTAAAAATATATATTGTACATTAAATATTAATTAAAAAAATATATATTAAATATTAATATAATGTGGATAATATAATTAAATATTATATTATCCACATCGTGATATTTATATTATAGTATAATTTCTTTCGTTACATTATAATGCTTCGGTATTTATAATTAATATTATTATTATATTGACTAGATATGTCGATATTATAGAATCAATCATATTTGTTTCTGTAATGTATATATTTCACAAAAGATATTACTAAAGAAAAAGAAATCAATTTATACATTTGAAATTTTATAATTAATATAATCACATTATTAATTTGTGTATTAATTTTTTGTACGCAAAAAAACGTATTTATTAGAAATTGAATATCTTATAGAGTGATTTATTAGTATTCAAAATAATACTATCATATATAAATAACATTGATACTGTCGAAAATTGATGAAAATTTCTATTATATGCCGATGTTTGATGTCCCCAAAACATTGGTAATCAATATATGTAAGCAACAAAAATATAGAGAGATATATAATTATAAAGAGTATATATAATTGACTTACAATTGTCAGTAAAATTCTTCAGTATTCAGTCCTTCTTATTAACGATTAAAGACAAGCGCATCGTGTGGATGCAGATGCACTAGACAATGTACTGCGAAAGACGAGAAAAAAAAGAGCAAAGCGGAAAGGAAGAAGAGCGGAAGAGGAGCTTTAAAACGCCGTTACGTCGTAACTCGTCGCAACGACGATCCCAGTGATAACGCGACGCTTGAGTTAACAAAGGCTCTTCTCCGTTTTGCCTTCATACCGCTTCTCTTCGTTAATAATAATGTCGTCCGGATGCAAGGCATGTAGAAGGCCTTGAACGAACGATATTCCACGACTTCTTGAACCGTATTTAATTACTGTCGCGTATCTAACGACCGGCTTTTTAACCACTAAATAAGTAATGTTATTTTTAGTCTATTATACAGCTGTGAGTTCTACATTCTTGCTATCACAAAATTGCTTTCACGCTTATATAAACGATTTTTTTTAACCTACCTTCGAGCACGCGATATCCTGTGAGACCGGCTCTGCTAAGTCTCGTGGATCGTGCGTGCAACCGTAAAGACAATTACGCGCATCAACAATGATAACGCCCGGCTGTAACCATACGGGTAACTATATCGCATAGTCGGGTATATATACGATGACAATAGACTACCGCAATAGACTACGAGCATTCGCTCGTTTAACGTTTATGTCGTACGAGGCGACCGAGAGTAAACCTTCCAACGGCGTATCGAGGTGCTGATTTATGATCGCAATCGTAATTGCAACCGTAGAAACGGCTGTCGTTGCAAGAAAAAAAGGAAAGAAAAAAAACACTCCACTCATTGGCGTCTCGTTAAGCCTGATTGTACGCTTATTAATCGTTATTCGACACTCCGATGATCAATTACAGGTACGCATGCTCTCGCTGAGTAAGATTAACCGACGATGTAAATGGAAAATAAAACGAGGATTACGTGAATATTAAAGAGTAAACGATCTTCGACGATTGGAAGGAAAACTTAGGAAGGAAGAGTTACGCAGTCTAAAAAAAAATTCGTACACTTACTTGCTCATTGCAGTGCCATACGTCGAACGATCGTTGTACAGGCTGGTGTTATATCATAACATGTGATGCCCACAGGGATGAATTTAAAACCTAGAAACGAAAAAAAAAAGTTCGTTGAAGATATATATATTTTTTTAAACAAAAAGACGAATCTAAATACATTAGGAAATTTAAGTCTTAGTCTCTTCTCGTTTGCGGTTATTAATTTATGAAATTGGCGCTAACTATTTCTTAGTCTTTATTTCTAATAGTAATAATTACAGATTAACATTTGACAAAATCTTTCCTTTACCAATTCTTTCATAAATTCGATGTTTCCTTAACAGAAATATTTAGAAATTAATTCTTAGTACTCTCTAGAATTTTTTAGTTCGTAAAGATCAAGTTTCTTGAAAATCATTCTCTCTCTCTCTCTTCCGTGGCGTATTTTCCGAAACTTTAAATTCATCGATCTGAATCGGAAAGTCAACTACGCAGTGTTAAATGAATATATATGTCAGGTGTCGTGCGTACATGCGCAATTCCGGACATAGTTGAAGTGCACGAACGAGAATCGAGGCGCATACGAACGCTAAAATAATTGCCGCAACTGCTGAACTTGGTTGATGGATTAAGCGGCAATTTGTAATGCCAGGTGATCCATCAAAACTTCGCGAAAGGTTAATCCCGGTTTAAAGACACGCAAACGATCGCGTTCTCACATGTTCGAGTAATGATAATCCTTCGTACTGATGATTATGTTTAGGTTTAGAGTATTTTCATCTTTAATACACTAAAACTACAACTACAATTTAACATATTTAGTTGTTGCCACGAGCAATCCAAATATTGTTACCGGATATAATTTCATTAAACAGCGAAATGTGATTCTCGATCCAATAATGAATAATTATGTTAATACAATATTATTCGAATAAAACAGTTCAATTACATATGTTTGAGAACAATCCGATCTCTCATGTGATTTAAGCTATCGTAGCATATCAAAACTATTATACTTCGATTCAAAAGGTTGCGTTTCGTGTTGAGGTTTCCAAATTTCGTGACTCGGACATGAACGAGCAACGGCTGTTCCAGTAAGCAACAATGGCACAGAGTCGCTGTAACGAATGCCGGAATATTCATGAAGCGAGAATGCGTCGACGAACGACGCGAAAAAAATTTAACGCAAAGAGTTGCAACTGCACTTCGCGAGAATCGAGCGAACGAATGCATTTAGCGTCGACAATCCGCGAGCTTGCATTTATTTTTTCGTACCACGTTTTTCCGCAACCAATATCGAAAAGTTCGTTGCGGCAACGAATGTGGAGAAACAAGCCTTTTAACGCGTTAAAAAACATATGTATAGTATATCAAAACAAAGCAGTTTAAGAAGAGAAAGGAAGCTTTCACGTTCAAAAATATAAATATAAAAAAAAATATAAACATTTCGTTTGCGATCAACTGGATTTCCAACTTGTAATGATGTCGATGAAAAAATAAAAATTGATTGATATGAATTATATAAAAATTCATATAAAACACATTTAATTAACAAGCTAATAACACGACGAAAGTAAAGAATCATCGTTGTCTCTCGTCTTTCTTTTTACAAGAGAAAGGTTTAAGAAGTGAAACGGTAATTTTCGTTCTTTCGCGGAAATACGTAACGGTAAGTCGTGTCGTCGCGGTCGTTCCAGACATTCCGGTCTCCCTCGGCTTCTTACTCTCGAATTCCACTCGCGTTTATGCATTGACACGCCAGTACCACCAGCTAGCAACATCCAACAGCATCCGGAAAGGAACGAATCGTTCGCTGTACGCTTGTGTTCACTTACTCGCTCGATCTTCGCCTTCGTTCCCGGCAAATTCATTATGATAAAGACAGTCTCACCGCGCGTACGATCCGTATATAATCGGCTCATTATCCTCAAGGCAGTCTACTTCGTCAGACTATCTTCATTATAATGAATTGTAATGCGTACCCCGCAGCTCGAACAAAGGATAAACGCAGTTTACTAATCGCAATCTGAGACTGAGTTTCTTGCTGTCGCGATAGATGTTTACAATAGAGACAAAAAAATAATACATTATCAGAAAATAACTGTCTTAAATTCACGATTGTATACGACGTAATTTATCAATTAGAGTTTCATATATAATTATAATATTATCACAGTTGGATACATATATACAAAGAGATAGAAGTTTCAGAGTAGTGTAGAAATACTTAACTAATTGTGAAATTCGTTATCATATAATGCCCATAAATGGCACTCGTGATTATACCGACTTGATTATACTGACTTGAGAATAGCTTTTTTCAAACACTGGAGCGAGACAGGCCATTTCCTGTAGTTTTTTGGAAGCTGAATACGAATCCAATTTCCAAATTGTCCCATCACGTCACAATTTTGAACAATTTGAAGTTGCAAAAAAGAGCTATTTTCAGATATTTTGTATTATTATAACTACAATATGTGGTTGACTAAAATTCCCTTTGATGGCTAAAAAGTCCTAAAAACATAATTTATTTTGATTGCAATAAAATTTCCCCAACACGTCACATATCATAATATGAGTTATAAAGTATCTAAAAAAATCCTCTTTATAACTTCAATTGTCAATTTCACAAAATTGTAACATGATGGAACAATTTGGAAACCAAATTCGTATTCAGCATCCAAAAAACTACAGGAAATGACTAGGAGTCTCGTTTTGATATATTTTTTTTTTTTCGAACAGTGTTATTCATGTACTCATAAAGATTTTATTTATTTGCTTCTCACAAATGTACCAAAAATGTAGTCGAAAGTACAACAGAGATGTAAAAAAAAACGTTGGGTAAATTAAAGACTAGACAAATCTCTCGAACCGTGGTTCTTTGTTTGGACTGAAAGGCACAAGAGCTTTCTTTCTTTCGCGACAAGGTCGCTGCCTCCAAGAGTCGGAAAACTATGTGTGCACGGCGTGGTATACCCGTTTCTAATCCCTCACACGAGCATCTTGGTGTCTGCGTTAGTGTGCTCATACCCCAGAGTGGAAACCGAAGTAAACGAGCCAGCGAGACTCTCGCGACTCTGCAGAAAACCGGTTTCTCCTGGTTTCAGAACAAGTAATTTCGTTACAAGCTGTATTTCTCTCTCTCTCTCTCTCTCTCTCTCTCTCTCTCTTCGACTTTTATTCGAATATAGAGAAAAAGAAATGGACAGGAACAACAGGAGAAGAAAACAAAGGAAGAAAAAAATGGAGAAAGTTCAGTGACATCCTAAAATGATTTTTATATACACAATTATTCGATAAACGATCAGTGCTACTTTAGATTTTCATCTATCAGTTGTAAGATGATAACGAAACTCTAATGAACTCAAATGAACTTGTTTTCAACTCAAGATCATTAATGCTTAAAGTTAAGACTTTTCTCTTTGGAATGTAAAAGTCTAATCGTAAGTATGAATGTAGATCTGTTTCAATACAAACATTCCAAATGCGAGAAATTAATAAAAATTCTGAATTTGGATTCAACAGTTTACGAATGCGTATGTGATTACAATAGATGTAATAATTGCGCGTTAATATTAATGGAATAGTCGTTATGTGAATTGTAGGTTGCTGCGTTTTTCGATAAATACAAAACCACCGCGAGAAACAAATCGCACTATTAGATAATAGCACATTGTCGAACGTAACATTCGTAACACGCTGTACCTAAACATACGAATCGATCCATCGATCGCTCGTATCCGACTCGTAATAACCATCATAGGGTGCGCAGTAATAGACTTTGGTCTATTATTAAATTATCGATACGCGTATAGGCGTGGCACCCCCCCCGATGTGACATTGCTCTCCTGTAACTCGCAGCTAGAGTTCGATCTCTTTCTCTCTCGCAAGACAATCGCCCGTGAGACGTTATTGCGAGATGGTACGCGAAGGAGAAAGCGAAAGCGAAAGCGAACAGTGAGGAGACAGAGTGCAGTAACTGTTGCACACGAGATCGCGGCAGACTGCATTCATCTCGCGAGATCCTCGCGAGATTCTCGCGAGTCGAGCGCAACACGTGTACGCGTGCGAAACGACAATAACACACCCACATCCATTTTAGTCTCACAGATGTAAGATTAATTCAAGAATTATGTAACAATCGATTTATATGCGATAGTCGACTGACGTGCGCCATTTAAATTTATTCGATTTAAATTATGTAATACTTCCTGTATGTAAAATTAAGTAAATGTAGAATGAAGAGAGGGAGAAAACGTTAATAAAATAATATAGTAACTATTTAAGAGAGATTTAAACATATAGACACTACCTTTATGTCTTTTCGGTGAGAGTAGTTCTTACGTATTAATTAACCTAATGTACAATTAAAAAGCAGGCAGTAAAAATAGATTTTAATTTATTAGAAATGGTATATACGATTTTTGAAATCTGAAATTCCTTGTTTTTATGTCTGTGCTTTTCAATTGCGTCTTAGACTTTACACGTTTTTTACGTTTTAATAAAAATAGACGTAAAATTATATCTCAATATAATTTATCGAAATTATTAGATAAGAATAGCAAAATATGTCCATAAGTTATATGTAAAATATAGTAAACAGTCATAAAAGTATTGATAGAATCTCACTGCACGTAAATCTAATTCTATTGTTTCGCGATTTGTAGAATGAGTTTAAATCAACCATGTTATACGCCTTTGTCCTATATATCAAACTTCTCACGAGGTTGATTTCGAAGTCTATTACTAACTAGAAACAATTAGGAAGAACTACAAAGACGTTCAAATTGAAAAAGAAATTTAATAAGAAGTTACAACAAAACACATCGTTCAAACAACTCTGCTAACTAAAAATCGCTTCTTTTAATTCGCTAAAGAAACATTCCAGGACAACCTGTTATCAAACCCGAGAAGTAAATCACATTTTGAATTAAAAGTACGCTCACTGACTCATTTCCACTCACCTTAACTTTCTACTGTCCCTTCTGGTCGCCAGGAAGCAATTACTTTTAATCGAATAATACGCCCGATTACTTTCTCTATTGCGAACGAGTTGTTAACTTCGAGTCGACTCATCTTTCGATCCTATTCAGGTGCCGTCGCTGTAA